CGACCACCGGAAGCGGAGCCGAGGAAGCCCCGCCACCGAGCAATGCAGCAGTCCTCCCACGGGCAGACGGAGGAGCGACAGGACGGTCCACAGCAGCATAGCCCAGACACAGGCCCCGTCGACCCCCACCATGGAGGCAGAGGGGTGGAGAAGGCACGGGGCCCCGTCCGACAGCCGAACAAGCAGGACACCGCGACAGTGCAACCGAGGACAACCAAGCGACGCCCGACGGTCCAAAACCACAACCAATTGCGACAGGAGTGTAGGGTTTCTCCCATGACGACAGTGAACCGTAGAAACGACAGTAAACCATAAAAAAAACGCTAAAAAAAGAATAATTGCGGGTGAGCAGCGGCAGCCAGACGCGGCAGCCAGACACGCCAGCGTTCACTCATCCTGGAAGTAACCCCATGATGATGAAGTAGAGACATTGTGGAACCCTCTTCAGCAGACAGGGTTAGAAATTTCCTGAATGAACATTAGAAATCTACTGAATGAACAGTTTGTCAGAATTTCCATGACTGTGCACAGGCCATTATCGACCCATCCATCCATTTTCCATACCACTTTTTCCGAAGAGGGTCGCGGAGTTGCTGGACCCTATTTTAGCTGACTTCGGGCCAAAGGCCAATGAACCCCCAGGACTGGTTGCCAGTCAGTCACAGGCCACATTTAGAGATGAACAACCACATATATATATATATATATGTATATATATATATATAGATAGATAGATAGATAGATAGATAGATATAGATATATAGATAGTTAGATAGATAGATAGATAGATAGACAGGAGCATTTCCTCTCATTAATGGTGAGACCAGCCTGTATTTTTCCAAGGACAGTCTTAAGGTGCAGGAGATGGTCCTCCCAACTTTCACTGTATATCACGACGTCATCGAGATAGGCAGTTGAAAAACTGGAACAGTCTTTGAGAATAACGTCCATTAATCTTTGAAAGGTCGCAGGTGCTCCACGTAGACCAAATGGTAAAACTGTATAGTGGAAGAGCCCTAACCCCAGAATCTGAAAAGCAGTGTATTCTTTACAGTTGGGGTCGAGCGGGACCTGCCAGTATCCTTTACAAAGATCGAGAGTTGTGATGAATTTTGCTCTACCCAATCTTTCCACGAGCTCATCAATACGAGGCATAGGGTAGGAGTCAAAACATGAGATACTATTGAGCTTCCTCATGTCTGAGCAGAATCGTAGTTGAGATGAGTCCTTTTTGGGTACCAACACAAATAGGTTAGACCATTCACTTTTAGATGGTTCTATGATCCCCATATCGAGCATTGCTTGTACCGCCTGCTTCAGTGGTTTCACCTGCTGCTCTGGAATCCTGTATGGTCTCAAACGCACAGGTTTATTTTTTTTTTTCGCACAATCTTGTGGGTGATGAGATCAGTTCGACCAGGTTTATCCTTGAATAACGACGAAAATAATTCCTTTACCTCTGCCACCTGAATTTGTTGCTCTGGGCTGAGGTGTAACGGGGTCACTTCAGGATTACTTCCTCCCCTCTCGGGTGTCATCTCAGCCTCATCCATCTCCTGTCTCAGTCACTAGAATTTCTCTGATGAAGAGACTTTGGGAGCTGGGTGTCTCCGATTGTTTCTCGGCATATAGCTTCAGCAGATTCACGTGAAGAATCTGCTTCTTTTTTTGTTTGTCAGGGCAGAGAATCTCATAAGTTACAGGTCCTATTTTCCTGGTCACAGTGTATGGGCCCTGCCATTTTGCCAGTAGCTTACTTGGTCCAGTAGGCAACAATATTAACACCTTCTGTCCAGGGTCCAACTCTCTCTCTCTGGCATGTTTATCATACGATACCTTTTGTTTTTTCTGACTCTCCTCCATATGTTTCTTTGCCATGTCTCTGAAATTCTCCAACTTGTCCCTCATTTGAAGAATATAGGAGATGACACTGTGTGAGGTCGCCTCTCCAGCCACCCAGTTCTCCTTCAGCATGTCCAGGGTTCCACGGACCTGTCTACCATAAAGCAACTCAAAAGGTGAAAACCCAGTTGACGCCTGGGGCACTTCTCGATAAGCAAATAACAGAAAAGGCAGCCATTTGTCCCAGTCTTTACCAGTGTCATGAATGAACTTCCTCAACATTTGTTTTAACGTTCCATTAACTCTTTCAACAAGACCATCAGTTTCAGGATGGTAAGGAGTGGTTCTAATTCCTTTAACTCCAAGATGGATATATAGGCCTTTCATAAGGTGAGACATGAAGTTTGTGCCTTGGTCTGTTAATATTTCCTTAGGAATGCCTGTTCTAGAATAACTCAATCAAGCACCGGACTACATGTTTTACCTGCATAGAACGAGGTGGATAAACATCTGGATACCTGGTTGCATAAT